AATCGTAGGAAGAAGTACACATGTTTTCTTACCACTTCTTAGTATCCCTTCTGATATCATTTGTGTTTAGATTAGGCAAACAGGAATCGATAATATAGCGCGTCGGTATCATCATACTATGATTTACGATTAGAGAAAACTTAGCTTACATGTGCGTTTTCAAGTGACATGTATTTGAGTTGGGAAACTTTTTTTATCAGGTACATCACTCGACGAGATATTTCCTGTCATATTTGAACAAATTTTTCTAATTTCTAGCATGCCCAATCATCGTTTTTATATCGCCGGTTTGCTGGTGCTTTTATGTTTGCGAATAATCCTAACCTCACTTACTATACTATACATTGTCTTCATCATTGTATACATTGTGTACGCATTGTTTAGATTGTATACATTGTCTATGCATTGCACCTATATATTATCTATATCGAAATGTAGACAAACAATGTGTCCGCGTAAACACCCATCATTGCGTTGGATTGACTAGGAGTTTGCAGCGCGACAGTGTCACGCAAAACGCTCTTTCGGTATTGTCGCGTGAGTTGAACGCTTTCCGTGCAGCAAATTGTTGCGCAACAACTTATCATCCATGTGTACGGGAAGTTAAAGGTATATAAAAGACAAATCATAATAGTTCACCAATACCTGTTAACTTCAACATTTTTGTATCCGTAGGACTTTCCGATAAAATTGGAGGCCGTAAAGCAGGAATCTATTCATTTGGCGTCAAATCACATGGCCAAGAAGCTGGCTGTATTTTTCTCAACGAAATAAATTGTCCATACACAGGGTGGGCCTCAGAGTTAACATTTATATTTGAAATCCAGCATGCGATGCATGGACATTTTATTCGCATTGAACAATCAACTTTAGATCTGACGCAATGATACTACTTGAATTAAAATCACAATGTATCAATAAAGGGATGCCTGCTATGCCACAAACTATTTGTGGAGGCGTAAAAAGATGCAAGCATCGAGACGGTAGTCCTTCAGGTTTGAACAGCGAATTCTTATAAATTGACCTTATCGCTGATAAATTACACTTTATAAGTAAGATAGTCTTGTTATTACAGGGTGAAATTACCTTGATTTTGGACGTCCTCGTAAAAAATGCACTTAAAAAGGTGTTGGAGATTTTCTTGAAGATAAAACAAGAATAAGAACCCAAATGCAGAGGTGAAATGGTGGTTAAATCAATATCAAGACAATCTCTTTAATGGCTGTAGACTTCAGACATAGATAGAATGACGATTTTATGCTTAGCTATGAACTTAAGTGAAGCTTAGAGGTTCCATTTAAGATCACCGTTATAAACCCGAATGACAAAATTTCATGCACGTTTATGAAGAGAAAGCCAAAATATGGACTCCACAACAACATGGCTTTCAATTATTCGCTATGACCTCGAATCTCAAACCAAAGTCTGGAAGATTGTCTGCATAGTATCCTATACTTTTCCGTTCTGTTTCTGGGGTCAAAATAATTGGGCACCATCAAATAAAATTGCTTTGATCTTAATCTGACCCCATATGTCATGGTAAAGGTCAATTTCAAGGTGATCAATGGATATCTAAATAAAAATTGGAGCTTTTGCTGCCTTTTGATCCTTATTTATGTTTTACCTCCAGAACATCCATTAAATAATAATAATCTCCTCCTAAGGTAATATCTAGACTGAGAATTATCCTGGACTAATAACGGCGTCTATTTGTTCTCTCATTATTCATCAGAAAACAAACTGCGAAGCCTCGACTGACTGACGATAGCATGCGCCTCACGAACGAGCGGGAAGTTTTCATTATAAAATGAGAAAAACATTACCCCCGTCCCAGACTGTTTTCATTGAAAACCTTCACGACAAATATTATCTTTGTTCTTGATTGCCGAGGCTAAATCAAGATATCTAAAGAAAGACATTAAATCGGTTGCCGCTTATTTTGAGCAGATGGGAAGGTAGAGAAGCTATTCAATCGGAGCTATTACGAACACCTTTTTACTTCTCACGCCAATTGACGAAGAAGTATCGTAATAACACATTTTTAAAATAAAATTTTATGTTCTTTGGTGTTACATGATATGAACATCACAAAAAGCGAGGCAAAAGACCATGCAGTAATTTCCGTAGGTCTATCTGTGCGCTAATCATTGACCCGTATATAGCTTGGAAAGTACTGCTGGGATGATTATTAAATTTTCACACAAAGTTACTACTATACCAAGAACGAAAAAGCTTTATAGGTTTTGAGAATCGAATCGATGATGGCGTCGCTAAGGGCAAATAACGTAAAAAATAAATATTGCTCAAACTTTGCCTTTTGACTTTTCAGAAACTTTTTGGAGAGGTTGGGAATTGTGGAGAGTAGTGACTTGTAAATACTGCAACACTCGCAAGCGCTGGATGACACTAGTACATAGACGCCTTGGAAGCAAACTATGGATAAGCTATTAGGAACTAGGAAGTTATTGAAGAACTAAGTATTATTTTAATATCAGGAAGCACGTAAAAATTGCAGCGTAAAGATCTCTTCGGTGAGCGGAACGATCACGAAATCATGAATCGCTTCGAAATACAATTTTCCTTGGAACATCTGTCTTATCACTGAATCTCTATATTTATAATATTTTGGAAAGCAATGCTGTTTTACTGAAAAACATGCTGTTTTACTGGAAAACATGCTGTTTTACTGGAAAACATGCTGTTTTCAACAATTAAATACTTAGTCATTAAATAGAGTAAGGATCTGTCTAAGATTCTTTTTTGGGATGGCACTCGGGAGTTGCAGGGGAAGTCCCTCTGGAGTTGGCAGCAAAGATCTTGACAAGAACTTCTGCCTTAGCCTTTAAGTCGTTTACACTTGTTCCATTCCGGCACGTAAATGCTGGAAGGCTACTCTGCGAGCAGTTCCTTTCAATCTGCTTAGCCAGCGTCCAGAAAGACCGACTGCTGTTGCGTTGCGACATTACCCATTGCCTAATTTCATTAACCATTTTTTCACACATACACTAAAAACTTGAGATAACAGAGATATCAGGTTTTAAAAGAGTCTGCGATACCTAATTTGGCCTAGCTTTCCGATTTGGTGAAAGGTGAAAAGGTACGATCTCACGACGGGGATAAGTTACGGTGAGTGTATTCCAGCTGCTGCTGAGTCTTTGCGTGTGTATTCCGATCATTTTCCGGGAAATCTCCATCCTACACATTATGTTTGTTTATCTCGTACTAAGAGACATAGACAGAGACAGTTTGCAGGAACGTCGAGGTGCGGTGAGTGGCAGGCCCAGATACCTCCCTTGTTGCAAACGTGGATAACAGACCTGTTTTTTATTCGAAAAGCAACAATTTGGAACAGTATTTATAAGCATCATGGACAGGGCGGTACTAATGTCTTATCAAATGAAGGTTACTTGAGATACCATCCCACGTAGCAAATATTCCCCCGCTAGAATCCGTTTGACGCTCCCCTGTTTCCTTGTACCCTTCCATAGCTTCACGGTATCCACAGGTATTTAGGCCAGCGTGGGGGCTCAAGTATAAAAAAAAATAGAAAAGCTTTGTCAGTTAAGATGTAGTTTTTCCTGATAAAGCCTCAATTTTCAGAACTTTAACTAGTACAAAGCGCATTCAGTTTGACGAATGACGATTGTCCAAGCCTGGTTAAGAAGTCATTCAACTGTTGGACTTCAGTTCAGTGGCAACATGACTTGGGAAACGTTACATTCCTGGTCTTATCAACCGTGGCAACTGCTGAGAAGAATCTAAGTTATCTGCTTGAAGGCCCGAGGCAGGTGATTTTTTCTAATCTTATCTTATGACTCATGACAAGGCCTTTATGCTGTTAACATATATGCGATGCCGCATCACTGACAACGTTGTCTATCCTTGATGCAGTTCAGATAATGCCTATCCCACTAATTTCAAGGCTAGAGGTACTTCCTGCCATCTATACTTGTGAGTACAGGACTGAGATAGGCTTCGTACTTCTTAATTTTGGGGTGCTGCTACTCCGACTACGCTGTTTAAACTTGGTGCGGTTTCTTACAGACCAAGCCTCTTTCACATTTACGGTCAGTGATCTTTTGCTGTTCTACCTACATGTGTACCATTGCGATCTCCTCCATGATGCTACCGCGCAATGCAGTTCAAAAGCCGAATTCTATATTATTTTCTATTTATAGAACCACATGTCACAAGACAAGATTATTATCAGTGATATGCCGACTTGAAAGAATTATTAGCAACAATTGAACGACGATACTTTCAGCATGGTTAATACAATCTAATTTCATTTATCTGCTTAAATCAGAGATTGTTGGATGTCCTTCGTAGCCGAAACTGCTTTGAACCTTTTTGCAAATGACGGGACTGAATTATCTGCTACAGGTTGACTTTTTTGTTTGGTGGTATAATAATAATAATACTTTTCGCGTTTGGCTAAGGCTACGAAACTGTTGTGGGTTATCCACCGAAATCATCTTCTGCCTAATATGCTTATTGATCTCCTGGTATATCCAATATTTTGAGTACATTTTTTAGAAAGAAAGGATGAAGACAGATATCAACAAAAGAGGAGGGTGAGGTTTAATGTCTTGTTAATTTTATGTTCAATGACCATTTGTCAGCACTGTTGCCAAAACAGTTGTAGCAATTTCGTAACATACATTGAATCATCACATCATTGCAATGGGTGTAAATGCGCTGGAACAGAAAATTGCATGGTCAGCCAAAGCTAGTGGTAGAGAATTACGATGTAAAGGTTCAAAAGTTTTTCGTCTCAAAACTATAATTTTATCCCAGCATTTTTTCATGCCTGAAAACTTAAATCTGGACAGTTTAGTAGGGTGGCATTAAGTAGCAGATGTTTTTCTTGTAAAACGCTTAGAAAACCCAAAAGGCGGCATTTGTTCCAAGCGACATGTCCATGCTCAGAAAGTAGTACCATGAGAATCTTTGAAACAGTGCTGTAATAATTCATAGTATTTGTTCAAAGAAGCGCTTACCCTACGAGCGTCCCTGATATTGACGAAGGTCTTGTTCAAGGCAACCGCTCCAGCGATCCCTATGCCAAATGGTATCCGGAACTCCTCGGATTGCCTAACGGCCTCTTCAAAAGTTACGTCATGTTGAACGTCGAACAGTTTGGCCACCAGGTAGCGCTCATCACCACGTTGACGTGCCAGAAATATAGAACCGCGTTCGGCGCGCGTCAGTCGTAGCACGTTCCGGAGAATCTTGTAGCACAACAGGTCGATGTCCAGCTGGTTTGCCACGTCGCGGATGAGCTCCATGAACAGCTCGGACTCCTGAAAGAAATAGTGCGTGATAGTAGATCAAAAATAAGTATGACTTTGTTTGTGCCCAAATTAGTATCACATACAAATTCCGAGTCTCTCAAAATCGTAATGAATGTGTAATTTCAGGAGTCAATGTAGTTTCTTATTGAACATTTTGTACCGCAAAACTTTGAGATTTTTGTGGTCGCTAACTCCGCATTAGAGGTCATGAGGACATTTAAAGGTCATTCCAAGGTCACCTTTGGGACAAATTTGTCTAGCAATCGAGTCCAGACTCGTGACAGACTCAGACAGGTGTCTAATATAATATACTAGACCACTGTGAAAGTAAATTTGTCTGGAATCGAATAGTTGGGTCTCGATATACGGAAATTCACTTGGATAAGTAACCTCGTTATGGAAGATCAACTTTGGAATTAATTTTTGGATAACGTCAACCTTTTTGTCATTATTATCCATAACTTGCCCCAGAGCCAAAATTCCGTAAAGTTGTAGCGGGCACACAAGAGCATAATAAAGATTGTATAGATATTCCTTAATCAGGTACAGTATTTACTTTATCAGTCGACTGAATCTCTTTGAGACCATTGGTTGTATGTTCATGTCTACTCCAGGTTCGATAGACTCTCATAGTAAAGGTTATTCATTGTTTTTTTTTATAGATGCCATATAAGATATCTGCACACATGAATAGATATTTTAATTTTGGTTTCAAAGATGTATGATACGTCATTCGTTATTGCTACAAAACTATAATTATTAAAAGAACAGAATTTCCCAAGCAAAACTTGAAATTCACCACCCACAAGTGCTTTGACAAAGCTGACACCATCCTCAGCTTATACGCTGGAATGACAGAAAGGCCACTATGTCTTTTGGCTTATAACTAGTTAACGTTTGTGCTATATTCAGATATGAGTTTTTTAAAAGACCATACCCACGTGTTTGCTTTCCGGTTATCTGTCTCCATGACTAGACCTATATCGTATTGATGGGTTGCTCAAGGGCACAAAACGGCTCAATATGTGGTTGGTCATGTTAACAAAGTCGAAAGGCAAATACTTCCAGTTCAGCCAGTAATTTGTTTGATGAAACATCATCAGCCAAGCATACCTCATGGTTTTTGAACCTGGAATCGACAAACAGTCCTTTATTTCCGTATTTTAATGAAGTGATATTGTGCATGATAATATGGATTGATATAATACTTCAAATGTCTGACAACCTCATCTTCTTACAGTTAGTGTTAATTAATTGAATGACGGACAAGATAATTCTAACAGTTTTATATTAAGAGTAATGATGAAAGCGTTTAGAACGGGATGATTTCAAGAAATAGGGGTCCTAAGTTCAAATTCTTCTTATGCATTATTCATAGCTGAGAGTTAACTACCAAAAACTAAACGCTGGTGATCATTGTCGCACTTGATCAAGGTCTTAAAGACCAATATTTTTGAGACTTCAGTTTGATTTGGACCAAAATGGCCATGGCCTTACAAATCGCTTCAAAGTCGAATTGACAAAGAAACTGCGTTCAAGTCATATGGCATTTCTAGGATATACAAACAGCCCGATCAAAGACTAACAGACCGACTTAAACGATTAATATGTAATTTTGTGATGTGATTCAATAAATTTGTTATCTGTAAAGTAAAATGTTTAAAAATTTAGATATAATATAGAATTTAGGAAAACTAAAACAAGCTATAAATTATATTCGGGCTCTTCACTTCAATCTATCAGAAGAGGAAACGAACAGACTAAAGTTTGATTTACTTTAAGTCGCACAGTTGATGTCCACTAAACGTGGAAGCCTATTTTTCATGTATTTCCAGCTTGCCATAAACGTCGAAGGAATGGCGGTGGCACTATTAACAAAAACTAACCACAACTTGCGTCTCTGCCTTGACATTAAGAACGGATCCACAAAAATGATAAAAATGAGATCATAATGAAGGCAAATAATATTAATAAATTTAAAAGCGGTGTAACTTTTTGATGCATAGAGGGACCAAGAAGCACCAGATGAATGATAAACCGAGCCTTAGAAACAAGTATTGGGTAAGCCATGATATATTAAAAACGACCAGATAAAATATGTACTCGTAGAACCGGGAGGCCCGTCCCCACAAAGTGAAGAATATTTTTTTTGTAGATTGTAGCTATTCAGTATATAGACACTAAATAGTCAATACAAATTATCCACTTTGCCCGAACCCCCATTTAAAGCGGATACAGACATCGTGCAAACGGAATACATGCCACGCATTGCCAAGAGCTTGACATAAAACAATTACCAATGCCCTCAAATTTTCATGACAGGTCCGATATCATAATTAAAGGGGTTGCTTTTACCAAATCGCAGGCTTGCACAAACTGTTCGAGATCTTACTTATTCTTGAAAGATAGAACCTTGACCTGGATTATTTTAATATTTATATGTCATCTGCGGCATATAAAAACAATGGAACTAAAAATACCGATAAAGTATCCGCTTTGCCTTTATGTGCTTTGCCCGAAGCCGTTTACTCGTATTTTGGAACGACACTATTGAAAAAATTAAGGGGCCAGATATAGTCAAAATTTGTTTCTCTACGCACGTAAGAAGTATTATATTAAAGTTTCATCCTGATTCTGTACGGCGGGAGGAAGTGATAAACAGATGAAGTACTTTCTTTCTAGCAGCTGTTTTAGAGGTTGGCGGAAATCATGTACTTGGTATATTTACTCTTAAAATGTGGCTCGAATGCGTTCATGGCAAGAACAGGATACGAGTTTGGGTGCTTCTGCAGAGTTTTGATGTGCTATAGAACAAAAGTGTATATGAGAAAACAACATGGCACATCTGTTAACTTAAACACATTTTTATTTATTAGCTACTGCTGCTACAGCTGCTACTTGACGGCAAACTATAAAAAACCCAACGGAAGGTAGATTTGTACAAATTTATAAGAAGGGTTTTCAGTCATGCTTATTGTAATCGTTACATATTGTTTTCGAATAAATGTAACATCATTAAAACCACATAACGAAGTGGTTCGGAAGGAGACTGTGGATAGAGGACCCTTACCACCCTTATATTCTATAATATAGTTGGAGCTGTTCCGCTATACTGTTCATTACCAAATTTACATTTTCATTGATCCTGTCAACGACCCCTAATCATTAAATAATTCAGCTGTCCCTGAATTACTTTCGGTAAAGACCTTCGTATCGTAGCGTATATTCCCATGAATAGAACATTATTTCTGGGCCACTAGCTTTACCGAAACTGAATTAATTATAAAGCCACATGCTCATTTTTTATGAAATATTTATTAAACGCTATGTTGTTTAGTTGAAAATCACGGTTGGTTTACGTTAAAGATAAAATTATAGCCTTTATCCGTGTACACAAAGTGTACTTGCTATAAGCTTACATCAGTACACTAATTAACGTCTTTATGATAAGATGCACTACGAAATGTCCAAGATATAATGGACATATTTGAATGAGACGGCAAGGACATTGGTTGGTTCACCATTTTTCTGCGGGTACCTCTTTGTAAGTATTGAAGCATGCAATAATTTTCATCGTCGACTTCAGATCCAACGCTACGTACCAGATCGGTGCAAGATCAAATAAGTACATCGCATGGCTGGAGCTACTTTGCAATAAATAATCACTTATCGGTAAATAAGCATGTTGGTTCGACAAAAAGCGTCAAAGGTAGTCTAGTTGCCAGGCTTCGTCTCCCTACCACTACTACTATCAGTACTTAGCTTCAGTATGCTTTTTATAGAGCATACATCCTTTGCTGCCACCAAATCAGTTGGTAATGCACTAGCTATCACAAGCACCCTACTATAAGCTAAGATTACACAAGGTCCTTCGCTGCGCCATGAGCGGTAAGTGGATGTATTTCTTTTTCTTCAGAGCCTTTGCATAGATAGGAGCGAGCTCTTTACGACTTAGTCGAGTTGTTCTTCCCTGTGGTGAAGATTCTAGGTCTCCCACTAATGAGCCCTTAGCTAAATTAAGGATCCAAGGACTTTATCTATACTGGCAAATAATTAATTGCATTCTGGTTTAGAATCTCAGCATTCTCAATGTTAACTGTCAATAAAGTTACATTTCGTCTGCCAGACACTATGACTACTTTCGTATTTGTCGGTTTCAAGGAGCCTATTATTATCATACAAGTATCTCGCAGGATATGATCCAATCTGAGGGATAACCTGATCTGCTTCACACTAGGTAAGCATATTCCGTCGAAGAGAAACACAGAGCGAGGACTGATGTTCTCAAGACAACTGGTCGTCAATCTCTAAAATGAGGAAGTAAAGTAAAGAAAGTGGTGGTCGTTCTATTACCTTCCGGAAAACTGTATCCATGAACGCTGAGAGACGAGTCGCTTCCCGGGTTATTTTCGGGATAAGAAGTGCGGACGTCTCTGTGCCGTCAATCAGTCTCATCTCTAAAGAGGATTTTAACTTTTTGATGAAACCTCTAACGAAATGAAGAACCTGGGAACATATCATCTTGTCAAGAATGGATGAAATCATATATTTGTCTGGCAAACGTCAACTTCTAACATAATGATACAGACCTTTTTTCAATAATTAATTTTAGCGGGTAGACATTGATATGGTTTTGTCTGCTAAGTCCGTCATTTCGTCTAGAGTACATTGCTATTCATCTTATATATCACAGATCTAAAAGCCACTGGTAAACCTTACAGAGTTCATTCCTTTGCCGATGATTTTGAAATTTATAATCATTTTCCTAGTTGTAACATTCAAACAGCCAAACCGGAGGTCAATGAAGATTTCAAATATATCAGTGAGTACGTGAAGAGTCATAACCTTCTGTTACATCCCTCATTTCTGGTTAGAAATCATAGTTTTTTACCAAAACCTTTTAGAAACGATATGAAAAAATAATTTTAATATAAACCCATAGGTTCTACTATTGAGGTAAGTGGATTGGTCAAAAACTTGGGTATTACTTTCGATAAATGTCTGAAATA